AAAGCCTGCCAGTGGCCTCACAATGACAGTGGTCCCTACTTCGAGCGAAGCCACAGATGCCAGGCAGTTTCTGTACTCTGCCATTGTCTATGCCCCAGGCTCCCTTGAGTAACTTTGGATATGCTTCTAGAGTCTTTTGCCTTCTTATGGAAAACCATGGCAGTCAATTATCTTTTATTTTTATTGTCAATTCTGGGCCCTTTTTATTCTCTATACTTTTGTAGTCACTGTGTTGCCTGGGCTGGCCTTGAACTCCTGGGCTCAAGTGATTTTGCTACGTAGCTGGGGCTGTAGGCTTGTGCCAACACACCCAGCTTTACCTCGTAGGTTGTTCTCTGTGCCCCTTTATCTAAGTTAGTTCTTTCACGTTCTCTATGCCAGTTCAGTTCCCTCCCTGCACTGGCTGCAATCTCCAGTTCAACTTGTGTGAATACACAAAATTGGCAATGAGTTGAGTTCAAAGACCCTAACTGAGCTGCGATGCACACCCAGGCTCCAGATAAGTGAAAGGCCAAAGCAAGAGCATCCTTGAGTCCAGGAATTCAAGACCCCCACCTGGACAACATAGAGGAAGCCGGGAGATAGAAGGTTGGGACATAACTCACTGCCTTCCTTGGCTTTAATTTCAGTCCCAGAATCTAGAAGCAGTGAGTGTTGTGATGCAATTGTGCTCTAATGAGTGAGGAGGCTGGCAGGGGAGACCAAGGGGAAGGCACCCGAAGGTTAACCCAGGCTAGACACCTTGTCACTCAGGATGAAACTGGCTGTTTAAGCATTTGACTTGCTTCTCCTTCATTTCCCTAAATGACAATGGCTCAAACCCAACAAGCAGCTTGTTTGCTTGTTTATTCCTTGGGGTGCAGTGGATGGAACCCAGCGCCCTGCCCAAGCCAGGTAAATACCACCAGCGAGCCCTGCTCCTAGCTGGCTTTTGATAGATCCAAGGCAAGTGCTGTAAAGCTAAGCCTAGTCCCCGCCCTTGGGTGGCTCGATTTTGTTTTGGTCAATTGGTCCCAGTGCTGGAGCTCAACCAATGATGCCATATGCTGAATTAAACATTTGATACTTCTTTTTACCCCCTCTTGGAGATGTGCACTCAGGGAGGGCAGGAGCTGTGCGTCTTGGTCACCTCTCCTATCTTCAGCTTGCTCCTGCTTGGCACCGTGGCTTTTATGTGGTGGACACTCAATAAATACATATTTTTAATGATATGTACTTTATGTCTTTCTGTTTTATTTTTTTTTTTGCATGTTTTGTCTGCATTTATGTAAGTACAGTGTGTATGTGTGTGATTCCCACAGATGCCAGAAGGGGGCACTAGACCTTCTGGAACTGGAGTTACTGACTAAGCTGTCATATGGGAGCTGGAAACTGAACCCAGGCCTTCTGCAAAAGCATTAATGGCTAAACCATCTCCCTACCTCTAAGTGTTGGTTTTCAAAACAGGGTTTCTCTATGTGGTTCTCACTAGCTTGAAACTCATGAGCCTCCTGCCTCCACTCCCCTACCCCTGCCCCCAGCTCCAAGTGCTAGAATTATAGAGACATACCATTATGCCAGACTTCAGTAAATACTTTGGGGGGGTCATTGTTTTGAAATTGCTTCCTATGGAATTCCTCTAGGAAGAGAACATGTGACAGAGGAAACCTAGAAT